AGTACTAGTACTAGTAGGAGTAGTAGCAGCAGCAGTAGCAGCAGCAGGAGTAGTAGTAGTAGTAGTCGTCGTCGTCGTCATGGAGGTGGTGGTGGTGGATTGGAAGTAGAAGTCGAAGTAGAAGTAGCAGCAAGTAGCAGAAGCAGTAGTCGTCGTTATCGCCGTCGTCGTGGTTGCAGTGGTGTCGCGATCGACTTCGCGATCATGGTCGTGATCGTGGCTGGCGCTCAGTCTCGTGACCGTCCTAGTGGTGTTACAAGTAGTGGTGTAATCGTCTTAGACTTAATTAACAGAATAAACAGTGGTGGCAATAGCGGTTGTAGTTGTCGTCGTAGAGCAGCAGCAGCAGCACTGACCCGGCTGCTACCAACTTGACTGTCAGAGACTACCGCAGTATAGCTATTCTCACGAATGCTGCCTCGCGTGTCTGAACATGACCTCTGTTCTGACTGTACCTTTTGCAATTCATCGCTGCTACTGCTGCTGTGATGCTTCGGAACATGTTGAACATCACAAACAGCGTCCAGCCATGTTGAAAGCAAAACTGTGCTGCGACAGCTACACCGATGCAAGGCGCTACCTGCATGGCATGTTGGCGATCGCGGAAGGCTCGGCAGATGCTGAGGACAAGCACACGCCCATCCCGAAGTCCAAGACGAGGCCACCAGCATCTTTGACCCTCTGAGCCTGCCAGAACTTGCCCCTACTCCAGCTTCGACAAGCGGAGCCATGAACTACATGAAGCAGCCCCACTTTTCAGGCACGAAGCCTCAGCCTCTAAGTTCGGCCGATGATCCTGGCGGGAATGGCCCTCTGGCTTCCACCGGGTTTCGACGGAGAGTGGTTTGGCTCTGCTGTGTTGGACGTACGGACAGTAAATGATCAGCTCCCGTCGTGGAAGCTCAGCCAAGAATCATGACAGTAGGTCGCCTGTCAACTTATTTTCTCAATGCGTTCCTGTATACCTCATGGAGAAAAGTCTTGGCAAGTGTCCTCCGTGAGGGATTTCGCCAACATCTGTTGGAGCTGCGACCTATCTTCAGGGTCAGGCTGCATGGCAACAAGAAGGCACCACAGACGGGACACAACTTGCAACGGAGCACCTCTGACAAAGCACCAGCCTCGAGTCTCCCACCTCGGTTCAAAACGGAGTCGACTTTTCTCTATGTCCGTGCTACGGGCTGCTACGGGCATGTCCAGGCTGCGGACCCAAGCCGTGAAAAGCTTAGTGCCGACGATGAGCGCCACAACCTTCGCACGACAGCGTTGGTTGGCCAGCAACAGAAGGTGTGCACGACAAAGTTCGATGCCCTCCCTTTGCGCGTGCCAGACCAGGCCCAGGCAAGTGTGGTTCCATCCGGCGAGGTCCGGAACTTTGCCAGAAACTCTGTATCCAACTCCTTTCATGCAAATCAGACTGGCATTCTGGCAAAGCCAACCCTGTCTTGCAGGAAGATAAACCTGCCAACTGATCGCTACAGCTTCAACAACGCGAAAGCACCTCGCAGACTTCCCTCAGGGCATCACCTGAGAGGGGCCAAGCGAGAAGTCGGTACCTCAAAAAGCGCTCATTCTCGCACCGAGCCCGCCACTAATCCGCGTCTCGTCCCAGGATGCGGTGTTCGTGTCAGATGACAACTGCGCAGCAGTAGTGGTGATTGTCACTCAACTTCAAACTGTCACTTCTTAAGCCCTGCTGGCGCACCCGCTTCAGCAGCTTCACATGGAAGCCCTTTGCGACGAACTCGGCGCACTGGTGCCCCTGCATTGTCTGAGTCCCATGCGCGCAGGCAGAGGCCTACGAACATCAGGTCACCCCAGAGCACCCTCAAGCCTCAACATTGCAAGCCTTTCACAGCTACGAGTAGGAATGTATCTCAAGCCACTGCTAAAATCTGCAACTTCGCCAACAACTTGGGTCGAGATCTTCCACCTGGTGTCCGTCGTAAACGGAGAAGAATGCGCAAGGCTGCGGAAGGTGATTGATCGGCATCTTCAGCGCCTCGCCAAGCTCAAAGGTGGAACCCTGAACCTCTTCTCGCAAAACGCAACCTCTAACTCTAGCCACCTATGAACTCGCCTTTGCGGCCTTTGTCAGGTCAGGAATCTTCACATGTCGATCCTGCGAAGCTTTACGAGACTGTTTTGCTGCACGTCACAGGGCTAGAGTCTAGAAACTAGAGGTTCTCGTTGTGTCACGTCGCTCTCCTCCTGCTTCGGCCGTCGGCCCTGCATGGACGCCGAGTCTACGGCGAAGGAGAAGGGAGCGACAGGCACCCTGGCAGAAGCTGATGCTACAAGCAAATGCACCCAACGTCCATGCAACAGTTCCCTGTCCGGACCATGTGTTAGTTTGTCGGCAGAGAAGAATTGCGCCGGGGCTGACGGCGCAGCTTCTGATGGTAAGTCCCTGGGCACGCGCTGTAGACGGTCTGTGTCAGTGGTTTCAAGCCTTCTGGGGAAGGGACTCTGCAGCCAGTTCTCTGCGAAGCGCATCGAAGTCAACCTGCAGCAGCCGCACAAAACTTAATCTCTCACTCGTCACTGTAGGGTCTGTTTCCGTGGAGGACCAGCTTGTAGAGACGACGCATGTGGACAGTACGGAGCACATGGTTCCTTAATGCTCGCTGCCATCCACCGGACCGGAAGAAACTTTCCTACAAAATGCTTCGAGAGCCCCAAAACCCTACAAAACCCAAAAAAGGCATGCTCCAAAGATCCAAAGCCTTTCTACCCGACACCTTGGGGGCCCCTTTGCCCCTTTGCCCCAGCGGGAGAACGCCCTGCAAAGCCCCACCTCGGGCAGGCCGGGCTCGTCCTGAAACGCACGGCTTGAGGATGGTGGTTTGGGGGTTCGGGTTTCGGGTTTTGGGTTTAGGTTCTTAGTTCTTGTCCGTAGGAAAATGGCATTATCTTTGGAGGCAGTAGGATTCTGATTCAGTGATATCGCTGCTTCTACTTCCTCTGTTCGACTCCCTGTTGCCTTTGCAGTTGCATCTTGGACGTGGTTGGCATGAGCGCCAGGCCATGATACACAGCGTGCCGACTTCAGGGATAGAGGCTGTGCCACTAGCTGCTCCCCATATTCCGAAAACTCGACGGGCTGCAGTTTCTCAACTTCTCCACAACCTGCCCTGACATGGCGCACACCCAATGGGCCACGATTCCACACTGCCGCACGAGGCAAACAAAGAAACACCTAAAGCTTCAAGCGCGGAAACTTGCAATGGCCTCCTCTTTCTCAGGTTCAGCAGCTGCCTCCTTCGCCGGAGGCGGATCCGCTGCGTCCTGCAAGGTGCTTGCGGTAACGGTCCATAATCCAAAGCTGGACTCGGGCTTTGCCTCTGATTCCCTTTTCCAGCAGGGCTTAGGCCCAAACGTCAGCAGAGGCGGACGGCCAAACACTCGTCTCTGAAGTAGAAAAGAGTACCGTTGTCTCGCCCCCTTTTCCAGCGCTTCTGCGCGTTGCGATGTCTAGACCAACCAGAGTGATTTGCTTTTCACTGATGGACTGGCAAACTTGCACTTGATAAGCAAATCCATGACTGGGTTCCGGGACCTGGCCATGGGGCGCCCCCCGAACTGGCCTAAACATGGAACTTGGTGCCTCCAAGCCTGCATACGACTCAGGGGGTGGGGGATCTTCATGCGAAGGGTTCAGCTATGGGTGAAGGCTGAGCATGGTCCTGCACGCCAGAGGCACCCGAGAAACTGTAAAGAGTTACTTGCAGCCAGCTTTCTTTAGGCTGTGGAGCTCACTGTCAGCTCCACCCTCTCCTACACCACCGCTGGCACGAGTAAGACCTCTCCTGCCGGAAGGTCCCTTTCATTCGCCTGCTGTCTCCTCAAAGACGCGGAGCACGGTAGGCCAGGGGCGCGGCGATGGTCGTTTCGCTTCCAAGGGTCTTTAGACAGCCCTAGATGCTGTAGATGATGCCGGCGGACTCCAGGTCCCGCTCCGGCTCCGCGGGCCTCTCGAAGCCGAGGGACATGCGCGAGGCGCGTAGGTCCTGATCCACGACCCGTGTACCGATATGCAAAGAGCGAGCCCTAAACCCCAATGAAAGTAGCCTACTACTATACCGTCATACCTCACTTCGCTCTCGGAGGGCTCTCCTGGATCTGAGGCTTCAGGAGGTCCCTGAGCTCCCGCAGCAGCGCCACCCGTTCTCGGCCGTAAGGCCCAGCGGAGAAGGCGAAGCTGTGCACCAGACCTGAAACGATCTGAGCTAACTGAAAGCAGAAGCAGTGATGTCTTTGAGTGGACCGTGCGCATCCTCTGCCACCCGCACTAGAGCAGCTGTTCGCATCCGGGCTTTCTTTTGGACTTTGCTTTGGCAGTCTCTCACCAGCTAACTTATGTGGATTGTATTCGAGGCCACGCCTCGATCCAGATCCAAGAACAAGTCTGGATGCGTCAGCAAGCGCGAGTGCCCGTCGATGGGACTGCGTTGCAGGAGCCACCTGCAAGGCACTGCAAGGCAGAGCAGGGGTCCGACAGGGGGTTCCAGGCTTCGAGGGCTGGGCCGGACCTAGAGAGAGGTATGCCACCGCTGTCCAGTTGCCCTCGCGCTTTGCTCCCATAAGAGATTGCGTCTACCACGGACTGGTGAACGAAAATCTGCAGCAAGTGCCCCGGGTTCTCCGGCTGCTGGCAGAGCCGCCAGCTGGGCACGTGGAGCCCATACTTCCTTGGCAAAGGCAGAGGCATGAATGCATGATTTACGAAGATGCCAGACCAAACAAACCGCAACACAACGAGGCCACTGTCTTTGAAGAAGATTCCGGCCCATTGCCAAGATGGAAGTCACAAGAGGATCCAGCCCCTGCGCACGGCCACTGCAAACACCAGCTGCCAGCAGGAGATCCTTGAGCATGCGGCGCCTTGCCATTTCAGCGTGAAAATGACTCACCAAGACCGTGAGCAGACGGCTAGAAGCCCCTAGGAAGGAGGATGGATGCCTTGCGATGCTTGACAGTTTTCTTCAGCTCAGGCGCATGGCGCCAGCCGAAATGCTGCTCGGGAATCCCCGGATAAGCCAAGCTTGCAGCATGTTCTGGGGCTGTCCACCCGAAGCCAAACAAGAGCAAAAAGCAGAAATTGCCACAGCCTCAGAGCTGTCCATATCTGTGCATCATGCTCCGGATCCTATAAGAAAGTAGCCACCCAGAAACGGCACAACGAAACAGCACGTTCTCAGCACAAGTTCTCTCCCTCTCTCTCTCTCTCTCCATCTCGCCCCCTCTCCCTTTCTTCTGCTTCACCACACACTCTCTTTATTTCGCCAGGACTATGGTACCACACCCTCTCTTATTCTTCACACACTTTGCTTTGTTTTGCTTGGGGTCAGAGTCAGGGGGTACCCCCCAACCCGCGGGCAAGCGCATTGCCTTCCATCATTTTGATACAAAGGGCTCGACTGTACTCTTCACACCCTCAATCTTTCGCCAGGGCTGGGGGCAAGGAGGAACTAGTCTCCCTCATCCACGCGTGTTAGCGCCCCCGACAGGTGGGGAGCGAGATACTAACTCTGCATACTCCACACCCTCTTCTTCTTCTTCCACCGGGCATGAGGGACGGTTAAGGTCCCTCGGCCACATGGGCCCCCCATGTGTTATGGGGCTTTGAAGGGACTGTGATTCACACCCTCTCTCTCTCTCTCTCTCTCTCTCTCTCTCTCTGTCTCTCGGACACAGACACTCTGACTAAGTCCTGAGTACTGAAAGCCATTGCACCTGAAACTCAGCCGTCTGGTCGTGCATGGTGCTTTCCCAGATCTGCAACAAGTGTTGCAAGCACTTGACGTTCTGGTATGGTTGTCTCCGCAGGCGCGGAATAGGAGGCCCATCTATGGGGTAGTCCAGAATGCATGCCGCCAGTGCCGTCTGTACTTCGTAGAGCAGGCAAGACGACGAGTAGCTGTGATAGAAGACAACGTAGTCTTCCTTGTACCGAAGCTCGTTCCGCAGCAGTTCATGGACAATTTTGCCGACTGTGTCGCGCACCACCGGCCGCAAGGGCTTAAGCAGATGGCGGAAAAGATCAACCACATCAGTGCGATCTTCAAGTGAAGGGCAGGAGCTATACCTTTGCAGTAGGAAGAACGAAGCAAAACACCGCAGCCTTCCTCTACAAGCTTGTTCCACACCCGACGTCTGGATTACGGTCGTTTCTTCGCTGCCGATCAACGAAAGGATGTTCCGCTGACTGCCTGTCTCTAGCTCTGAGATGCTCTGAGAACAGGAGGACCAGCCATCATTCTCAGCCGCTATGCGTATGTTTCCGTGTGGTCCTACTGTCTTCGTTGTCTTTTCGCATGAACCCGGCATCTGCACGACAGCCGCACATCTCTTGGGCAAGCCAAATTGCAACCTCCGGGGTGGCTACTCTTAAAGGGCACACGCTTCTTCCGACCTTCAAGGAAGCAAAGGGTTTTCATTCCTTCAATCGTTTAGGGAAGCAAAGCGTCTTCATTCCTTCAATCGAACAGCACACGGCGCGCTAGAGCAACATTATTCACGGACTTGTGACAGAAACAGCTTATTGCTCTTGCGATGAGTCACCAAAAAAGTCTCTGCGGGCCGAGGCTCAGTGGCCAATCGTGATCTTGGATTGGGCTGACAGTTTCCACCGGTGGCCGCGGGGCTGCGCGCCGTGGAGCGCCCTCGATGTTGCCTTCGATGTCCACCTCGAAGCCAACAAAACGAAGCAGATTTGGACAGCCGGTGTTTCTTGCACTCAGACTCGGACAGCAGGCAAAGCTCTGGGCACGTGCAGTCGGCTTTGTTTCGTGCAGCAGGTTCAGGATTCAGCGATTGGGATTGAGGTTCATGGCTTTGGGGTTGATTGTTCGGGGATGTGGGGCCCTGTTCTGGTCTGAAGTTTGATCTCGTGGAATCCAGGCTTTGGGTCTGAGAGTCGGCCCTGCAGCCCCTGAACTCAAACGCCGGACTCCAATTCTCGACTGGAACTCCGATGAGTCAAAAAACCACTGCCATGCTGGAATAGCCAAAGGCATGAGCAAGAGTTCATGGCGCAAGAGAAAGAGAAAACATGAAAATGGATCACTTTCCGGTGGTCTATTTCCAAGCAGCTTTTGCCGACCACTCTGTAACGATGCTACATGCTTCAACCAGCTTAAACTTTGAGGACTTTGCAGGCCGACACCCTAAACAAAGCGAGGGCTGGCTCGGCACCCCTGCCCGCTCCGCGGAATGATGCATACTTGAATCTCTATTCCTTGCGGTAGACCGCAAGCCCAGAAAGATTTCCGGTCGCGAGAACTACGCTGTCAATCCCCAAACCCTAGAAGGAATGATCGCTGGAGAACCGAAAGTCCACAGTGACTGCTTGGCAAGACTCATGACTGGGAAACCCAAGCCAGAAACGAGAGATGGCTAGCAGCTAGCAAGCCGTGCATGCTGGAAGGAGTGCTGCTGGGGAAACCATTCATCCGGACGAGGACAGCGGTGGCTACCAACCCCCAAAATCCAGAAATCCTGGCGGCTGCCACAAAGATTACAATGGCGATTGGTCACCCAGTCAATGTGGCACGATGTGGCTGGACCTTTTGAAACCCAAAACACTAACGGTACGCGAAATGACCTATACCACAAAGAGCCATGCCCGGTAAGCAAGCCCCGAATCCTGGGCAAATCGGAACTGGATCGCTGGCCGCAAAGTACCCTGACTCGAAAAAGAAGCTGCAAAGGCTCGTAGGCTCCCTTCCTGCAGCCCTGAAAGAGATGGGCAATCGTAGCCTGCAGGAAAGCGGCCGTATGTAGGAGCGGCTGCTGAATACCGTTGTGGGAGTTCCCTCGCTTGTTGTGGGCAGTGAGGTACAGCTTAAGCAGCCAAAGCAGCGTGACCACGAGCCAAGAATGAGGAATAAACGGAGCCATCCCGCAGCTGGAGCGCAGCAACAAGCAGATGGTCATGGCTTCCTGAGGCAACGCTGCTCAAACTTGGGGCAGAGCTGTTTGGAGCCTAGCTGCAGCACAGCATCCGAGTGCTGGTTCACAGACCTTCGAGCAAATGTCGAGATCTCTTCGCAGACATCGGACAGATGCCCCTTGGCGAAGCCGCGAATGACTGAATACACAACGCCCGCCACGTTTATGGCCGTCCCAACCTGCAAGACACTCGAAACTCTCGGAGACTCACCAAAATACAGGCTAAACGCCTGTCGGACGGCACTGGGTTGGGCGAGGCTTGGATATAGGAGTGAAACCTCATCACGATCTTGCGAAGCAAAATGCGGCCGCGCTGCATTGTCGTCCATGTACAGGCAAAACATCCCGAAGGCGAGGATACAAAACAGGTTGAGGAAATGAAGACAGGAGACTCGGGGTGGTATCACCAGGATATAGACCAGTGCTAGGAAGGACACCAATCCATTAAATCCCTGTGGAGTGCAGACGATTGCAAAACGGCAGCTGCACTGTACAACATCTTCCAGCAGGGCGGTGAAGCGCTTCCGCTTCACCATCGAAGACTCGAGCTGCACAGCAATCGGCATGGCCTCGTCCAGGTGGACCCCCACACCTCGCAGCTCCTCCACGGCAGAGGCATAGTAGCCAGGATCCGGGTAGCCGTGGCGGGTCGGCCCACCGGCCATGGCAGTCTTCAGGTGCATGGCAAACGTGGGTCGCAGACGTCCCGTGGTGTTGGACTGGCTGAGACTGAACATGAGCCTCCTCCGAAAAGCCAGCTGAAAGAGCGCCAGAAGATGACGACCTTGCTCGTCGTCCGGTAAAAACGCATGCAAGGAGCGCCCGTCGTATATCCGCCCATGCAAACTTCCAGTGGGAAAATAAAAGTGGAGGAGGATTGTGCGACAACGATAGCCCGACAAAGACCGGTTCCTTGCGCAGGAGCTAACTGTTGGAGAAAAATGGACTGCATGGGCCTACAACACAACCTTAGCAGGGACAACCCAGAAACCCTGGTAGCACTCTACCGGCTGGTATGATCAGGTCGACAAGCCGCGCGAAATATTAGTCGTACAAGCCACACTGAATCCGGGAAGAGGCCGTTACGGCAGATTATTATGGATTAGAGACCTGCTCGCTAACAGAATGCCGAGGCATGGTTTTTGCTACCATTCGATAGCTTGCATGTTTTATACATGCCCGAGCCCAATCTTCGGCTTAATGATACTATAACATTATTCGTGTTTGTTACCATCCGATAGCTTGCGCCGTTTACACTGCCCGAACTTACGTAACCCAATCCTCGTGTTGATGATGCTGCAACTGTCTCGTCTGTTACAATTCGAAACTTGCAACTTGCACATCGTGGCATCTCGGTCCCTCCTGACATTTGCCGAACTCACCCCCCTCTCACTTCCAGGCTCAATCTGTTTTTCTGTGCCGGTGCGGTTTCGCAGAATTGATTCTCATACCATCCGAAAAGAGCTGCCCAGGCCTCCCCTGAGCACCCACTCCCCTAGTTAATTCCGTGCATGTTGACGGTCAGGCCGTTTTGCAGAAATTGACTCACGACCCCTCCCAAAACAGCTCGCCAGGCCCCCCGCCCCAACCTTGTCTCGTGCGGTACATTTCACAGAGTTGAGCCTCGAAAATTGGGAAGAGCTCCCAGGCCTCCCCCACCCCTGACGTCCCACAGGCCACAGTCTGCCTCTTTCACAGAATTGACTCCCCAGGCCTCCCCACCGCTCCCACAGTCTATTCGGTGTGGCGTGCCGAGGGCAGAATTGAATCTGGGTCCGTTTCCAAGCCTCCCTGCCCTTTGCTGGCGTCCCCTGATCAAGTCGTTTGGTAGAATTGACTTATTGTCCGTCCCAAAGGAGCTCGGGCCTCCGGCCTCCTTTCACCTATCTTTGAAAAAGCAGCTTGCTGATCATTTTCTTGCAAAAGCAGCTAGCTGAAGGGCTTTTGTCAAAAGCAGCTAGGTGAAGGGAGCCCGGCATCCTTTCACCTCTCCTTTTCTTGCAAAAGCAGGTTGGTGAAGTGAGCCCGGCCTTGTTTCACTTTCCTTTTCTTGCAGAAGCAGCTAGCTGAAGGGAGCTCGGCGTTCACCTCTCCTTTTCAGCTGGCCCTCCCGAACAGAACGACATGGTTTTGACAACGCCTGCCGCAGCTTGGCACCCCCCTCCGAAAATAATTTCCGCGTCTTGTGTCCGTGTTTCGCAGACTTGACTCTCGGCCCCGCAAAACAAGCTCCCCAGCCATGCCTCCACTGGCCTCCGGTTTTTCTTTGCCGGTGCTTTTCTCAGGCTTGATTTTAGGGCGGGGCCGCGTCGCAGAATTGACTCTCGGTCCTTCCCAAAACAGCTCCCTAAGCCTCCTCCCCCCACCCGCACACAGACCATTCTGTGTTTTGTGCCCCATCAGCCCGTCTCGTTGAATTGGCACGTGGTTCCTCGCAAAAGAGCTGCTCAGGCTTCCCGGCACTCCCCTCGTCAAGTCTGCGTTTAATGGTCAAGCGTCTCCCCGAAGCTAGGCGAGCTGCTGCGCGCGCTGCTCTGCTGGCGCTACGACTACAGCAGCTGTAGCGTGGCAGCTAACTTCCTATAAGCCCCTTTGTTTTCTGGACTCTGACCGGGCACAACCAGCCCCATCGCATATTGCCATCCGGCATGCTGCCAGTTCGATCCCCATAGCTCTGGCCACAGGTGGGGCCTTCAGTCAGTCAGCTTGGACAGCTCAACCAAATCAACAGGGCTGCAGTCTGCCAAGGGACAGGTGGGTCTTCGCTGGAGCCATTGGTCAAGACACTCGGCGTGATACCTTTCAATGTGAGACCGGGGCTGCAGTCCCAGGTCCTCAACACTCCCTTGGAACACCTCGCCTGTGACCACAGGGCAGCTGCACTGTGGAATGCCCCTCGAGGCAGATGCAACAGATCTCTTCCTCGGGGCAAGAGCTCGAAACCTGGACAGGAAGTGAACGGCGAGAGCTGCGGATGGAGCACGGTGAATAAGATTTGCTGAAATCTGCATGACGGCGCCTTCAGCCCAAAGTCCCGGCTGCGGAGGTTTTTCTGCTCCGTGCTGTCCCGGGGCACGTTCTCGGTACAGCAAATAAACAAGGCTCTGGTCTTCCCTGTTTTAAAAGACATGCACTACGGCTCAAGACTCCACCGTCCACTCCCTCGTGCCAATTGAGGCAAAGTGCCAACTGTGGCTCCTCGGGCAAGGCCAACGTCAAGACCGTGCCCATCGCAGCTCTTAGGTGGATGTGTCCCTCCGGAAGTTTGCAGGGCTGGTGGATGGCTGTGGGAAAGTTTGTACAGGGCCGATCTTGTGAATGTCAGTGTGCAGGCTGCGTACATATTCTCCGCGTGACAGCCCATCGTCCGGATCGCAAAATTGAAATCTTGAACCCAAGTTGGCAGCAGCGCGAGGATGCTAGAAGCCTCGCATCGCCTCGCTGCGAGGTTCTTGCAGAGCAACGAATCCGAACGCCTTCCCGCGGTCCTTAGCCTGAGTTGCCTCCTGCTTTGCATCGCTAAGCCCCGGCCCCAGCCTTAGACCAGAAAGGAACTTTCATGGCATCATGGCATGATCATGCATGCATCTGTGCTTCTATATGTGTGAGCGTGTATAATCATAGGTAGATAGCCTGATAGATGGTTGGCTGGATCGATGGATGAATGGATGGATAGATGGATGGATGGAGGGAGGGAGGGAGGGATGGATAGAAAAAACGATATACATGCATACCATGTATGTATACACATGTAAATATACAGATAGAGAGACAGATAGATACACAGAGTGATAGAGATAGAGAGGCACAGAGATAGAGAGACATGGAGATAGAGAGAGATGGACAGTAAGATGGGTAGACAAACAGATATATGGACAGATAGATAGATACATAGTTAGACAAGCAGATAGATGGACAAATAGATAAATAAACAGAATGATGGGCAGAAAGATAGATAAATGGGTTCAATGATAGGTAGAGAGATAGATAGGTAGAAAGATAGATGGATAGATAGAGACAGGTAGACAAGTAGACAGGCAGACAGATACACAGACAGTCAGACCGCCAGCCAGCCAGCCAGCCAGCCAGCCAGCCAGGTAGGTAGGTAGGTAGGTAGGCAGATACATATTAACAAATATAGACATACACATATGTAGGCACATACACATATGCACGCCTACACACTCACTCACTCACTCACTCACTCACTCACTCACTCACTCACTCACTCACTCACTCACTCACGCGCGGCAAAGTTCGAGTCTCTGCAAGTACACACACACATACATACACACACATACACATACATACATACATACATACATACATACATACATACATACATACATACATACATACATGCATGCATACATACATACATAAATACATTACATACATTACATTAATACATACATACATACATGCATGCATGCATGCATGCATGCATGCATGCATGCATACATGCATACATGCATACATGCATACATGCATACATGCATACGTGCATACATGCATACATGCATACATGCATACATGCATACATACATACATGCATACATACATACATACATACATTACCGACATACATACATACATACATACATACATACATACACACACACA